ATGAGTGACGCAAGACGCAATTTTACAGATTTTTAATTGCGTCTGACGCAATTCAATAATTTTAGTGACATGTATAGTTATGAATGCAATAAAATTTTATTTATTTATTAAAGTATACTTTTTGTAATTAAAGCACAAAAATGTGTTTAAAGTGCAAAATTCATCTGATGGCTTGATTGTAAGGTTTCTACATAAAAACGTTAAAAGCCCAAATTGCCAAAATAGTTCAAGCTTTGAGAAACAGTTTGGGCTAGAAACCTTACTTGATTGTTGGTAAAGTGTCCCAACATTAAATGCTAATCCCAATAACAATGATAATAAAATTAAGAGCAATAATTGACTCAATAATCTCACAGAAAAGCTTCACATTTGTTTGTGTAGTGTATATCTAAATTACAAAGTTTTATGTCCACCTGTCCTTTTTAAGAAATTATATAAAAGGGACATGGACAGGTAATTGTGGCTGATGCTCTCTCCCTGTCCTTTTCAATAATTTATTAATACTAATAAAATCTGAAAAAGGACAGAGAACAGGCAACCTTGCCCTTTGCTTGTGCCACACCTGTCCCTCGAATTTACCTGTCCTTTTTAATGTTTTCATGTAAATCAACTGTCCCGCGACCTGTCCTTTTATAGATTCCAGGAGTAATTATTGAAAAGGACAGGGGACAGGGCATTCCCTGTCCCTGTCCTTTTCTAGCAGCCCTTAAAAAATTTTGATATTACTCATTTGTTGATTTCATATGATGTTGTTGACGGTGACCTTATGATCAAGTAAGTAATTATTAATTATCATCATCATTATTTAAATAAATTGAAAAGGTGGAGGAAGGAATTATTGATAAGTGATTAATTATAAATTCTTTTGAATAAAATAAATAGAACAAATTTTTCTAGAGGTGCAAAAAAAGAGTCTAGGCTGACTACTTCTTTAATCGATGATGAAAGTTACAATTTAATTTGTTAAATGGCCGATATGTAAGTCAAAATACTCTTTATGAAATTAAGATCAAGGTAATTAAAATAAATAATAAAGTACCAAATTATTGTCATAATTATATAACAATATCATTTATATTAGTAATTTGACTTTAGCACATTAGGAAACTTTTTGTTTTCACTACCCAAATATTAGTCACGCTTTTTGAAACATAGCTTAATAAACCTTTTAAATATGGAAACTTTCAGTGTTAAAGCATCAAAACCTAACAAATGTGACAGTGACAATGAAAACAACATTCATTTTTTAATATTACCAGCGATTGATGTTTATGGAAAAAGAAAAGTATGATGCAATCTCTTATTTATTTATTATTTTAAAATGATGTTATCTTTTATATTTTTCTTTTATCTAACATTACTCTACCCTAGTGCAAAATTACATTTTTAGATCCTCTAAATCATCGAGAAACAAACACCATTTAGGTAATTTATATATATATGTCATAATCTTTTTAAATTTTATAATGATAAGATTATTATTAATATTAATAGTTATAAAAATCTGAGTTCAAACAAACAAAACAAATTTTACCAACGATTTTAAAAGAAATAGATTCTGAAATAATTATTAAAGAAGATGGAATGATGTTAATCAGGGCTAGTCAAAAATTTATTCCATTTAAAATAAATAGATATAATAATAATAATAAATATTAAAAAAAATATCAATTTGTTAATTAGATTCCTATAAATAAAATTTAAATATTGAATATATAGTAACTATATTATAATTTATTTATTTTTTATTTCTAAAACAAACCATAATATTTATATATTTATATATTTATTTATTTATTAACGAATTTTTATTTCTTGAAATAGTATTCTCTTTTAAGTATTTAATTCGTGATCCACCAGTTAAGATTAACCAGCAGCAATTTTTTTAATGGTAACTTACATACTTTATGACTTATTATAGAATTCTGAGGAATAATAACAACAACAACAATAAATTTATTTCTTTAGTACCGGAAAATTTTATTCAAGATAATCATCAAAGTTAAACAATTATAAAGATATATATTATCAACTGTATACAACATTAAAAACAAAAAAAATTTTTTTTTATTGGAAAAAAATTGTATTTATTTATTTATTTATAAAAAAACTAACTGATAATGATAATGATGGTGATAATGATAATGATAATAAAAAATAATGATGGTATATAATAATAATAATAATAAATCTAAATTACAGATTAATGTACTTATTCTCTAAATTATCAATCAACGTACTTATTCGTTCTTTAATAGATTAACATGCTTATTCTTTCACTAAATAGAATTCCAGCTTTGATTATTAGATCCAAAGTATGATAACCAATATTTAAGGTATAGTAATAAATATTTAACCAAATTCCTCTTTCCTTTCTAAATTCCCATTTCTTCTCCTCCTTGTCACTTTCACTTTCACTTTCACTTTCATTTTCATTTTCATTTTTTATATCATTATTTTCATGCTCAATTTCATAAGGTAATAATGGAACATTAAAAAGTTTTTGTAGTTTTGGTAATAATAAAAAATAAATTAGAAACCAATATAATATTCCAAATATCAATCCAGTAGAACTTTCTTTAATATTGTGGAAATATGTTACTGTGAAAAATAACATATTGATCCACAAAATCAACAAACCAAAAAATATTTTTTTAAAGAATTTAAACTCATTCAATTCAATTATTTTTTTCTTGTTGAATGATCCACATATTTCCTCTAATAGAAAAAGTGAAGAATGCACTAATAAGAAACAATGTCCGCTGGCATCATGTCCATTAATCCACTCTCCCTTCAACTGTTTACATTGATATGAACTATTAATATCATTTGTTTTTCCATAATTTGAAAAGTTTTCTGTGTCCTCATTAAATCTACAATTGCCTCCACTCATTGTAAATATCATATCAAATACACTTGGTCCAAATAAAGTTTTTTGCGTTATTATATACCAATAACCTGTTGATGCAATGTAACGAAGTATAGAAAAAACTAGTTTCTCTCCTTGTCTCTCGTTTTCATTCATTGCTAAATAAGCACCATATACTACTGTAGTCCAAAACCATCCGTTCTTTGCAAATATTCTATTAAATACATTGTTCTTTGATTGATAATATGTCTCTTCTAATCTTGATACTAGTCCAACAAATACTACTAATATATAAAACAGTACAATAAAACCTTGTAATTTCGATGTTTTGGAATTAAAGGTTTTTTTTAACGAAGCTTTAAATTTTAATACGCTCTTACGATTTATATATTGATCCATTTATAATACAATTTTTGTATATATATATGACAATAAAAGAATGTGAAAATTTTTTATAATTATAATCTCCCTCCACATGATGAATGAATATGTTGAATGGATCATGTTGATCTTTTTTTTTTTGTGTTCGACATCCGACTCATTCGGAGTCTTGGAAACAATTATTATTTATTATATGAATAATTGGTAGGAATAGCTCAAAATTAAGAGGTTTATGTATTTTATTATTTTATTTACAAATAAATGCTTTATTAAAAAAGGATTTCAAGTACTTTTTACAACATCTATTTGATCTAAAGAATATCTTTTCATAATGACAGTTCTTTCATCACTTTCATTTCTATTATATTCCATTCTTAGGGAGTGACAAAATGTAATTATTATTTGATCTATCCGGTCGTTATTACAAAAACTTCATCAATTAACTAATAACTTTTCCAAATATAGCTATCACCATCCCAATATTTGGAATTACATGCCATACTATTTTGTAACTGACCGGTGCTCTTCCCAAATAACAAGAACTTGATGATATTTATCTATTTTATTCTATTTGTAAATCTGAGATGTTTTTAACTTTCATGTTTAATTTGTTTTCCTGCACTTAGAATGACCAATGGATATTGTTCTTCACAATTTGTGTATAGTGTTTCCAAGAGACTAGGCGTGCATAATCTCATGTAACTATTAATGGAAAGATACTTGATGTAAAAGTAGATGGTGCTATTGAGTGTATCAACCTATCATTGTTGCATCCAGGTTGCTTCAGCTTCTCATTCTATTTTACCGCACTTCCCAAAACTTACCTACTTACACCGATGATTAACACTAATCAATTTATACCAGACATTCAAAACACTTCAACGCACTTTCAATATCAAAAAGATCTGATGGGTGTCTCACCTGGTCAGAGATATTTAACAAAATAACTGGCCATTCACTATATGATGTTCCACTTGTTAATACATGAGATTATCTATATATCTTATTTACATAATGTATATATATAAAACCCTTTTATCAAAAATGAAATGTAGATCCTTTACAAAATTCTTGAAAATTAAAATTTTATTTAATATATTATATAATATTACTATGATAAACTCTATCCTGTTATCAATCTCAGATCAAGCCAACCTTTTATGGTTCTTCAACATTTGTATTAGTATTATTATTGACTACTTCTGAAACTTCTTGACTAATAAAATTGTCATTAACAAGTTCTCGTAAACGTGAAATCAATGAATCAGCGATTTGAGATGTTAGATGAGATGATAATGATTCCATCATTTTATCAAGTCTCAAAAAATTGTCATTATTTCGGTACTTTTGTGCCATATCAACTCGTCTTAATTGTTATTATCATTATTAATATCTCAACAATCAAATCAATTAATTAATCAATAGTTAAGATTATTTGTACAACTTACTGATCATAGTTATGATATTCCCTAATCAATTCGGATAATTGAGAAAACATATCTTCAGGAAAAGATTCAGATCGTGATACTAAATGTTCGCACTCATAAGGTGTTCCTAAATAACATCAACATAATAATAATTATTAATTCATAATATCTGTATATACACACACATCATTAACTTACTATATTCGCCTGAAACATCATATTTGGTACCGCTCATCCAAAATTTAAATTTTGAAATATTAGAAACATTCTCTGCATCGTATGGGGTTACAATCACTCCGATAAATGGTTCCAAACCATCATCACGTTTCCACATTTCCTAAATAAGAGAAAATCAAAAAACATCAAATATGTATGATTTATTCAAAAATAAAATAAAGTTTTAAAATATTATTATCATACCTGATACTGGGATTGATTTTCAATGTCACGAATTGAAGGCTGAGGTTCAAAAGTTGGATGAGAGTGATACCAACCAACAAATTCCAAGCACTTTTCAGAAAAAACCTCTCTTGCAGCAACCTCAGACTCAGGATCCATTTCACACTAAAGTTAGATAAAATTTGGAAAATGTATATATGTAATTGTTGTAGATTCCTAATAATATTATTTATTATTATCTGAATTCTAATAATTTTTATATACCTGAAAACCAGTACTTAAACTTTTACAAGGATATACATAAGTAATTTCCATTAGTTGACTATCAGAATGGAAATGACCTCCAAGCAAACCAATGATTTCAGTATGGGCCAAATGAGCATGAAAGTCCATCATGAGCTTATAAATATATATAATATTAATATTTTCCGTAATATAAATTTTTTTTAAAAAACCCCAATTTATAAAATATAATTACCATAACATTAGTAGAAACAGACAATTTAAATGGTGCAGGATATCTTGATGTATAATGCATGGGTTTTACCAGACGAAATGGATCATAATCATAGGCTAAATCGTCGTAAAGTTTTTAGTTAGGGCTAAATAGATTTAAACCAAATCTCCATACAATATTAAAAAAGGATATTTCATTATAATTAATTTTCCCTTCTTTTTTAGCAGTACGAATTCTTTTGCTTCTACGTGTCAAATCATCACCTGAATTTGTTTTAAACATTTAGGAAAGCTTTAAGCAAAATTAAAATCCAATTTATAATATTAAAACAAAAATCTGTAACCTTTAGTTCCACCAGTAAGATTGTTCTCGTAATCATCGTCGTCATCACTATCATCATCACCGTAAGTATCAACATCGATATCATTTTTTAACCTTATATTGATTAATAATATTAGCATGATTTTTATTATCATAATAGAGACAACGTATATTTGTGCATGTGTGTTAAAAGATATTATAAATAGACCATATAAATTACCAATTTTTATTCTTACGAGCTCTAAATTATCAAAAGTTGAAAATAAATAGTGGTTTTTAAACAAAATCGTATTTGAAAATTTAATAGTAATTTCAAAAATCAAAATTTATCAAACCCTGGATAATTCCATTCATCATCTTCAACTCTAGTCTTAGTTTTACGTTTACTACTTCCGTTATCACCACCACCTCCACCGCCACCACCATTGCCGCTACTACTTCCATCAGTACTGTTAGCGGATCCATCAGATAATTTTCTTTTGGAGGATCTTTTGACAGCCCTAATTTTAGTAGCAAAACCAACATTAATTGCACCAATCGATTCAAGGTATGCATGAACACGTCCGATAGCATTAACATCACCACAATCCTTTGATTAAAAGATAGAAAACATGTGTATATATATTCTTTTGAGTGATTTATATATATATATATACATATATATATACATATAATATGCAAATCAAAAAAACCTTAAGTCCAGGCCTAACAATAGTTTTTGATATGTATTTTGGTTTATTGTTTAACCAAGTATTTAAAATAAAATTTCTAATTTTCATATAACGTTCAGGAGTTTTAGCACGTTTTCCAAGAAAAAATTCAGAATTTTTTTTCTTTTCATCTTCGGATATCACTGACTGATCAAGAGGCTATAAAATATGGGTAAAAAAATTTTTTAAAAAATCAATTTATTTTTTCTTATTAAATATGTAAACATATAAACAGATATAAAACAGGTAAAATTTATCAAGAAAAGAAATACATACTTTCTCAGCAGGTAACTTAGATTCTTCACGGTTCGAGTCATTAAAGTGATCAGAAGGAGTTGAAACTTGAATGGTTTCTGCACTAGAACTATTATCAAGATCTATATTTTTGTCACAGTTCAATTGATACGCATCATCAGCATTTGATATTTCTTTTTTTATCTCAAAAGATTCAATTGGCATAATTGCAAGTAAACAATAATAAAATGGAAAAATCCAAATATTAATTGATAGATTTTTTGTGAGATGATTTTTTAATAATTAAAAAAATTAATTTTAATAATAAAAGAAAATCAATTTTTTTATCCATTATTTACATAAAACAAAACATCATGGTTTTTCATATGATTTGATATCATTAATGCTAAATCTTTAAAAATAGTGAATTTCGATGTGCACAAAAAAAATTTATAGTAATAGATAATTCAACGCGTACAACTTTACCGTTCTTTTTTACGCGTAATAGAAATTGACCTGCTGACCATTTAAGACCACATCGTAATCGAAGACTTTCAAAAAAATAGATTTTTAAAGATCCAGTTGTTTACAATAAATTGGTTACCGAGGATTAGATGCATTAAAATGTTTAATGGATAACGAGTTTAAAGAAATAATTATGTTATTCGTATATTATACTACAGGAATTTAAAAAAATGTTGAATGTGCATATGCAGTGAAAATGTAATGGATCAAGAATATGTGTTGATTGGATAGATCAATAATACATTTTAAGATATATTTAAAAAAAGAAAACTAAAAAATATTTCATTTTAAATTAGAAAGCATGGACTTTCATATTCCTACTTTTAGAAATATTAGGTCCAACCAACCATTTAAGAGTTGATCTAATCATGTTATATATGAGAGAGAGGGTATATGTGTGATACATTCTTACTGGGATCATCATCTGCTAAAAAGTCCTGGCCCTGTTCCATTATTTCACGTATATGACATAAGGCTTCAAACGAATCAAATCGAGTTGGATTTTAAAGCGACTCGATTCGATCTAAATCGGATTTTTATTATATTTTAAAATTTTAAAAATAATGACCAGAGAAAGTAACGCACAGTCAAATTTTATTTCAACAAATCTGAATAGATGCAGAATGAACATATGGAAAAAACGTGTTTTGATACGGAAGCGCTACTCGTGCTGATTCTTTCATAATATCTCCCAGGTTTCCTGTTGATGCATTATAATTAGAAAAATTCACCTTCCCGTACCTAAAAATACGGAAACCAGCACAGGAACATTCTTTCGTTTGGTTTCTGTACATTAAAAATGCATTTTAATGCGGAAAACACCTGCACCGTGCCGTTTTCGCGTGTTTAGATACGGGAAAGTTCACTTTTCTGTGTTAGTAGGTATACTCCGTATTAGTATGTATTCAATAATAGTACCTATTCCATATATATTTCTTTATAAGGTGGAACGCACGAGGCACTCGCGTTTCAACGAGCTTTATATGTGAAGCAAAAATTCAATGCGAATTTAGTTATAATTCGTTGAAACAAGATTCGCTGGAACAAATGATTTTTCATTGAACTATTTTATTTATATATGCATTAGATAGTATTAGTGTATATCGATCCGAATCAAATCAAATCATGTTTCATAGCTGGTGTATATTCACTGGTAGAAAAAATGTAATTCACAAAGATTCCACATAGTGAAATCATTGAGCATAACAACCGTTTTTACAACAGTTTTACAAATACTAGTGAAATATTACGGAAGCTATTGTAAAAATATTGTAAAAACGGTTGTTATGCTCAATGATTTCACTATGTGGAATCTTTGTGAATTACATTTTTTCTACCAGTGATTGATTCGAATCGGGATCGAAGCAAACACGAGTGAATTCGATTTAGAATCGGTTCGAATTTCATTGATTCGTTCAGAGTCTTACATATGACTGAAGACAGAGTGGTTATTTCTGGCTGTATTGACACTTCTATTCCATAATTTTGCTGCACAGCTAGGATTATCATATGCTTGGTTGTGGACTCGCCTTTCGCCTGCATCTTAACATGCCATTCTATTTTCTTTGAATAATCATTTTTTGTGTTTCATATAAAGAAGAATGAAATGCTCTAATCCTTGCTCTTCTGTTAAAGGCCTTTGCGGGATATATACATTTGGGTCTAATTGAAATAATTCATCATAAAGAGCTCTGGTTTCGGCCAAATTTTTTTGGTTGGTCACAATCTGTATCACTTAGATCCTTAATTTTTTTGTAATCTCGATCCCCATTGTTTAACAGTCTCACCTGGCCTTCTATCACTGGGATTTTTTATCTCTTGAAATTGCATACTCAGAACGGACAAAGTATCTGAACTAAGAATTGGTTCAAGATTTTGATTTGGCTTAGGCTCAGAATTAGGAATTATTTCAGGCTCTGATAAGGAGTGACGCTTACACAGGTGCAGGATTTTGAGGCTTGCATGGATTCTTTCTTTTGAGATTTTTTGTAGAGTTGCACATGTATAACCACAGCATTAGGTCTAACCGATTTGTTTTAAATAATTTTTTCTATATTCAAAAATGCAGGTGATTATTCTTGCCCTATTACTACCTCCATAATTTCGGTTATATATAAATTCGAAATTAAACCTAAAAGTCGAATCATTTCGACCTGAGAGGTCAAAAGTCGAATTAAAAATCGAAACAGTCGAAATTACGTCTTGAACATACAGAAAAATTAATCAAAAGCTTCAAATTGTCATAACTCGGCCAATATCTGGTTGTTTTGGACAAAATAACTACTATTCGAATTCTCTCAATGGCGTGAGTCTGATGAAATGTAATTCATGAAATTTGAATTACTGATCAATTTGTGGTCTTTCACCATATTTAAATTTTTTTTATTGCTGCCGATCACCACTAAAAATAGATAGATATTTTTTGTGATTGGTAATAAATAAAGACGTTGGTGTGAAAACTCTTGCTGTAATTACAATGTAGTAAAGCATGCCTATGGTTTAAGACAGCATAACCAGCCCCTAAATAATTTTAATCAAACAAATAATAAATATTATGTTTTAATACTCGGCTGCTTGCTTTTTATGATGCTGACTAAATCTAGATATCCAATTTTTAATTTGTTGAGGTGAAGGGATATTGTCAAGTTCAATTTCATTATTTTTATTTAACATACCTTCAGCTGATAATTTTCCTTCTTATTGAGATTATTGAAATATTTTGGTTTGCCATTTATTGATGAGATGGGCAATTATTTGAATCCTCCTTATGAGACTATTCTATCTAATGTGCCATATTTCAACCCTGAAATTAATACTAAATCGTCTTAATCTTGACTTCATGTATAATTTTGGAGCCATCTATGTAAATGCTTGCATGCATCCTGAAGAGTGTCAACTTTACTATAAGGTTAAAAAACACCCTTCATGCTACGAGTGTGGGATGTCCATTGCATACCAGAGGGTTTTATATCTCTGAATTCTATCAAAGATTGCTCTAAAGTATGGCTCTGAACAGAATGAAATTTATATATCAGGATATTGGTCTAAGCTGTTTTTATCAAAGGACAGTTTTTTTGAAAATAGGCTAAAAATGCTTTAGCTTTATTTCCTATCCACTTTTTTGTTAGGCTTTTTGGACCATGAGCTCTAGGAGTCTGAAATTTTCCATATATTGGGAATTTAATCTGAGCAGTTTTATCCAAGGTCAGTTTTTATTAGGAAAAGCCAAAAATGCTTTATTTTCTTAGCAATTTTTTGGGCGTGAGGACCTATGAGTATTGAAATTTTTTTGGTTATATTTTCTTGACTTATGAGACCAATACTTTATAAAGATTTGACACACATGTGGCATTATGAAAGTTTTCTGTTCTAATCCCTTGATATCCTAAAATTTTGTTGGATTTTCTTACCTTGTGAGGTGTTGTTATGAAAATTTTTGTTAGATCTTTTGGTTAGAATTTTAGATTGCATAACTTTTTAGGCTTTAGAGCTAATAAAAATGGCTTGAATGTGATTATAGATATATAACTGATTTTGATGCATGTCCACAATTTGGTTAGATTTTGTGTTAAAATTCTAACTCAAATGATGAGGTAAACATATTTCAATTATCATTTGAGTGATGGGTAAGCCATGAACTGCACCTACTTAGTAAAATCACTTAGGTTTTTAAGACTCTAGAGAGCACAGACACACAAGTATCACCCTGTTGGTTTTGTCCCAAAACCCCCCAAAGTGACAGTGAATATTTTACTGTGAAAATGATTAATATCAGATGTATTCATGGGTCTCGGATAAATAGATGGTAGTCAAAAAATAAATATAATTTATTTGAAAAGCTTTAAATTCATTGTAATATATTTCAATATCACCCCTGTTAAAGAAAATTATACACTGTTTTAAAGGTGTCAGCAGCAGCATTAATTGTGATTTTATATGTTGATGTGCCAGTTTCTTCTTTTGTTAACATTTCATTATCTTCCACTTCATTATCAATCTAATATATTCTTCTGCTGATAATGGCAAAGAAAAAGGTAATTACTGATTTCATTATTTTGATGATTTGATTTCATTGTTGGGTAATTCCCCATTTGATAAAGGAATAATTTCCCAGCAATTAAAAATGATTCATTATTTGTTGCTCAATTGTCATGTGAATTTGTTGAAATGCAATTGCAGTCAACCATTCTAAGTGCACACTCATTCATTCCCAAGCTTGAGGATTAGAGTTAAATGCACATCCCTTCCCCTGCACTGCATGGTCTTTTCCCCTCTCTAAATGCATATAGTAACTTTCACAGATCATTTTCCAATAAAAATTGTGCAATTTATGTTATAAATCAATTTTTCCTTGTCATGTAACAAAAAAAATAAAGAATTGATTTTTATACTTAGTAATGATGATAAAGAATATAAATATACATACAGCCCAAATTGGTTTGGTGATTTTGATGGCCAAAATGATTCCAATTTTGATGAAATTAATTATGGCACTCACTATTAAAAACATAAGTGTAACACCCCTTTATGACAGTGTCAAAATACTTTGGGCTGCATGTATAGGTATAAAGAATTAATTTGTAACAAGCAAGTAAAGAATTGTTCACTTTATTAAGTGACAGGAGAATAAAGAACTCTTTCTTTTAATAAATACAAAGGTTATTAGAACAAAAGAACAAGAGAGTAGACAGAGAAGTTTATGTAGTTGAAATTATTATAAATAAGACATGAATCAAGAATTTTATTTCATTAAAAAAATAAAACCTTCTATTTAATTCTTAACTGGTTAATTCTCTTGGTAGATATTACTTTAAAAACAATAAAAACAATGAGGCAAAATACAATCAATAATTATGAATATAAATTTTTTTTATAATGACAGTAGTATTTTTTATTGTGTCACATGTAACCAATGAAATGCTTTGTTTCTCTCATTCCCAAGGGGTGCACTTTTTTTTTACTATGAGGTAATGTCGCATAATTTTATTTATTATAGTTACATAAAAAAAAAAATTGACTGCCCCTAGTAAACTAATAAGTTCACCATGAAACCAACCTTTCAGGCCCTGTAGTTATATTAATATATTTAAAAAAAAATTTAATAAAAAATTCTCGAAACGAAGGCTTGACTGTATCACAGAAATCACAACACAGAAAATCATCGATTTAACAGATATTTTACTAGTCCAAATTTAGAAACTATTGCGGAAAATTGATATTTCGCATATAGTTAAATATCTATTAAATCGAGCGAGATTCATTGTGTACAATTACATTTATGGTGAAATTGAAAAGTCAAAGTACTTCTTATGTATCTGGGTCTACAATTATCTCATCTACAACAACTTATCCAATTCATCTTGCAGTTGACGGGTTTGAAATTATTAGTTTGGACTTTCCCTAATTTTGTTAATAAAACTTCTCTTGTTAGAATAATCACTTAACTAGACAATTAAAATCATCTTTTTTTGAACAAAGTTTTAAGCCCAGAATGCCAAAGTCAATGTGGTAAAATCATTAATCTTTATAAAAACAATGTACCTAATTACAATATATCTAGAATTCTCGAACAACAGTGTCTCATGTTATTAAAAAAATATCTTTATGAAAAGATCTTACTCAAAAAATAAACCAATAAAAAAAAACACAGGTGGATACAATTCAGTTTGAGATATTCACTAAACAAGCAATGAATATTCGAATTTCGAATAGTTTTGATGGTTTGAATTATTCTATCCCAAAATTACTGGTTCGAATTTGGTTTCGAGCCTTAATTATAATACAAATAATCTAAATGACACAATTAGAGGATGAAAGATAAACTAGTAAGGAACAAAAACATTTATAGTATGTGAAAAGGAGGAACATAATAAAGTTAATAAATAGTAGTTTTGTTTATTTATCCTCGATGGGTTTATGAGAAATCAATTGGAGGCAAGTAGAGGCAGAGGGAGAAGGAAAATGACAAATATGCTAATTTGGTGAAAGTATCACAATATTAAAATATTGAGTATAAACATTATCAAATATTGTTGAATAGAGGCAGGCATTTGAAAATAAAGAAATAGTTAGAAAGAAATCACGTTAAATCGGCGTGATGCTCTTTTACCTTTTTTGTTTATTGTAACATCTATACAAATAAATAAAGATCAAAGTAATCAAAGTTTTTCGTGCCTAGGGAATTCTTGTAAAAAAGAAAATTTATTATTATCATCTATCAAATTTTTTTGATATTAAATTAATTTTGAAAAATATATTAATATAATTTACCAGTATATAGTGAGCCTATTTTACGAGAAAGCTGTTTCATATTGCTATGATTTGATTTAATATAAGATCCATTTTCTGTTTTGTATAGTTATAGTGAATAAAGTAATTGTTAAAAAAAATCAAAATTGTTATCATCATTAATAACAACAATCAAGGGTATACCTTGTGACATTTGAACTGATGAAGAGCTGTTGTTGGCATTATGAATTGATTGTGATAATTTTGAAGGGTTTTCGCCAGCACTGACGCCAGTTCCTGTAGTTCTTCTTTCCATCAATAAATAATTAATTTGCATTTTCAATGAATTGCATGTACTTTTGAGAGAAGTAACCTCTTGTTGAATTTTTAGAGTTTCTTTCATTAAAGCATCATTTTGTTTAAACTCTAAGTCTATCAAGTTTTCATTTAATAATTGAATCTCATTGTTAATTCTATCATTATCAGATAATAACAATTCATGAGTTGATAATAGAGTAGAGTGATCTTCATGGTTAATTATGATATTACTATTATTATTATTGCCAATATTGTTATTGATATCATTGCTATCGCCATTATTGTTACCAATAATTATTGGAGAAATGTTAGTGTTGATTGGATTTTCAATGTATAGTTCATAACGATAGAGAATGGAGGATAATTGATTTGAAATTGTGGCAAATTGATTTTGTAGTATGTCAACCGAACTATTTAGCTGATTTAATTTTGATTTTAGCTGTTGATTTTCTTGATTGATTGTGTCAGAATGTTGTTTATATATAGTAAAGAAATCCTTTAACGATTCATAAATACAGATTTTGATGTGATTATTCAATAAGTCATGCTGTTGACCTGACCATTTACAACCAAATTGAGAATGTAAACATGAAACAACCTTTACTGGACATTGTTTAATATGTTGTGAAAATTGAGATTGAGAAAAGGCTGAGTGACAATCTTGACAAATAAAATTTTCAGAAGATACCTGAAGGTCCTTTAAAAACAAAAATGGCAAGAATAAATGAAGAAAATAATTAATTGAAAATGAAAATAATATTTATTAAATAAACAAACAAACAACCAATCAATTGGATCTTTCTATTTAAATTACCTTGGATGAAAATGATTTTTTTTTTAAATTGCATAATTCACAATCATCAACAATTTTTGGCAGACATTTTTCTATGTGTTTTGATAGATCTTTTCTCAAAAAAATTTCTTTACATTCTTCTAAACAACATTGAATTTCCAGATACATACAATCATCTTTTATATGAGAATGTATGAGTTGACGTTCTCCAACATGAGAACAACCTAGTTCTCTATTTGGACAATAAACCAACAATTCGTTTACCATATTAACTATTAATTTTGAAGCGGGTTTAAGTTGGTTTTTTGTATCAGATAAAGGAGAACGATCAATTGGACATATTGATTTTGTTGAAGTTATGGATTGATTAATGCACAACTTGCAAAATGTATGACTAAAAATATTATATATTTTTTTAGAAAGTAATTTGCAATTTTGAAAATTAGAAAATAAAAGAAATATACCCGCAAGACTCTAAAACAACAGGCTCTACGAAAGGTGTTCTACAGATACAACATATAAGATTAGAATTTGTTGTCTCCACGTAAACAATTGAATGCAAATCCATTGAATATTATTGTGCACAAATGTAAATTACAATTTTCCAAAACTTGCTATTATATACTGCGTAATATCATGAATTTTAAAACCTAAAAAGGAAATATTGGGTGCTTAATAAAGACGATGTTTGATAGTCTATCGTCAAGATAATAAAAAAAATATTGCTTGCCTCTTTTTAAAAATCATGTGATTCCTATCAGTGACGTGTAACGTTACATAAGCTGTGTGCACGTCTATTTTTTTTTTATTATGAAGAAATAATTTTACAAAATAAAAAATTAAATTAAATATTTCTCCTTGTCTTTTTACTTTCCCAATTTTCATATGCTTTTAAAAAATCGAAATTTTCAATTTCTGGACTATTTAATAAAACCATCTAATGTATTTTGATGCATTTTATTTCTCAGATTGTTTTTAATTAATTTCATTTGAGAAAATATTCTTTCTACATGAGCATTAGAAAGAGGTATAAGAAGTGCTATTTGAAGAACTATTATTATAGTTGAATAATTAAAGGAAAATTAACATCAGTATCCAAAATATGTTGCCATAATTGAATAAATTCATTTCTCTATTATTGTTTTTATAGTACTGAAATATTTTCGAGCACATGGAAATTTTATATAACGTGACACACCCTGATTGAATTTTCAACACCGATTCTTATAAAATTTTCCAAATTTTATAATTTTGGCCCGATTTATCTTACGTGCGTTCATATGATTAGCAAAAATTAGGAAGAAATCTTTTTTCAATATTTACTCTCTTGAAGAAAGCTCGACATGTATATTTTAGCTTTCCAGCTTAATTTCAAAAATCAAAAACCTCTACTCCAAGGAAAATTGATGCAAAAGGTCATAAAGTGGTATTTTATTCAAAATTCTATTGTGAATTGAACTATATAGAAATGTATTGGGGTGCTGCCAAAAGGTATGTAAGGCAACATTGTGATTATACCTGGAAAGGCTTACAAGAAAATATACCTAGGGCCTTTGATTCTGTAACATTGAAACAAGTAAGAAAGTATGCATTAAGATCAGTAAAGTATATGGAGTGCTATAAGAAAGGTCTAACAATTTAATATTATGGAAGAAATAATGAATAGTACATAGAAATTAATTTTTTGACAAAAAAATAGTCACGTGATTTATTTTTAACTGCGTTCAACTTTTTTCTTGGATTTGATGAATGTGGCAAAGTGATTCGATAGCTTATTATATTACTGTACAAATATATTTAATCTGTCTGTCTGTACATCAAAGATAACTTTTAAAATTAGATTTTGGAAAAGTTAGGTCTTCGTGGAATCTTTTAATTTTTTTTAAACAGAATATGACGAATTTAATTTAGTGCGACATATTTAGCTTTAAAAAGGGGATTTTCGGTCATTTTTCATATACAGTTTACTCTCTCTATAACGGATCTTTCTATAACGGATTTTTCTCTATAACGGACAAAAAATTCTGGCCCAATT